CCTGCAGAATTGTAAGGAAAGTACCTTTGAAATCGTAGCAGCATGAAGAAGGAAAAAGTCTTTAGCCCAAGAACAAGGGCTCAGAGGACTCAGAAGATGAGACCCCCTCCTGGATGGACACTGGAATTCCCACTGCGGGCCTCTCTGCCAAGTGTTTGTCCAGCCTCCTGCAGTTAACAAACCCTGGTGCCCAGCCAGCCCCGGCGGCTCCAGGTACCCACGCGACAAATCCCTCTCACCGACCCCAGGGGAGGCCTGGCCCACGTCCAGGAGGCTTAAGCACCAAGGCCCCTCGGTGGCTCCCCACTTGTCTGGGGCTTGTATTTTAAACACATAACCTTGTATCCTTTTTCTTAAAGAGAAGCCCCAAATTCTATTAACCTCAGGCCTCACAGAACTCGGAACTGCAACCGTACACCCCGCTGATTTCTTAATCTGTCTGTTTCTCCCATTAAATTATTAACATCTTGAGGACAGAGAGCTTGTCTTATTCTGTTTTACCTCCAATGTGCGGCACCATGCCAGGCACCTGGATGTGTTTGCTGGGTGAATGAATGAATGAATGAATGAGGGGATAAGCAGGAAGGAAAAAACACCTCGTGAGTTAAAATCTGTTCGTTTCACTCGCTCCACTTGGATCTTTTCCTCAAAATCGTCCAGTACAAGTTAATCCTTTTTCACCTGACGGCCTTTCAGCTGTTCAAAGACGGCTCCTCCAAGTCTCCGCTCTTCCAGGGAAACCACTCCTGTTCCTGCAACTAGGGCTCTTTTCTTAAAGGTTATCAGTGACAGAAATTCCACCAGCATTTCGCTGCTGTTCCTTGCAACATCTAATGACTGCCAGGATGTGCCTTTATCTACACAGGATACCTTGGCCTCCAGACTGCCTGTGGGCCAGCTGATAACATTTATTTTTCGGGGGGAGGAAATGCTTGAGTTTTGAGGAAGAATGTCGGTGCACGTGACTCTTCAGGACTGAAAAGGAGGCATTGGAAAAAACAGGCCTGGCCCCCGGGGCCGGGGAGGCCACAGCCCCTGGAGGAAGGCGAACAACTCCCCTGCCTGTCCTTTGATCAGCAGCCCCTCCTCTCTCCACCCCTCATTGTCTGTGGGATTTGGTTCCATAAACATCTCCCCACAGTGACCCTCCTGGACCACCACACCTACACTGTGGTCTCCCCTGGGCCCCTCTGCCTGCCACCAGCCCTGCGAGCATACACGTATTCACGTAAATCTCTTCCTGCTCGCCATCAGTCTCTTCCCTCCCCAGCTCTCTGCTTGCATGTGAACTCCCTAGGTCTTCGTCTGCCTAGAACAGAGCCTGGCACAGAGAGGGATCTCAGAAATATTTGTTGCTACATGAATGAAACTAGCATTTCCCAACTGCACATTCTATGTATATTCTGCTGGGAGCTGGGGGTACGAATGTGTTTAAATTCAGGCCTCTGTGCTTAAGTAGGTCACCAGAAAACCCCCACTGCAAGAGAGGGAGTGCCCTCTCCCCAGAGAGGCCCAGTTCCGTGATCACACCTCCACCCGACCAAGGCTTTTGCAAACACTGCAGCCATGCACCCCCGCCCTCGCCCATAGAAACACTCACACACAGGCAATTAGACCCGGATGCACGTTTCCACACCACCTCTGCACACCCTGCCATGTATTACGTGATGCAGACCACGAGCACGGCTCCTGGGTGTGAAGGAGGTGGGCAACCACCAACATGTTTGGGCTTTCTTGCTGCTGTGGGGGCCAGAGGCCCCAGGTCCAGGGGGACAAACACTTCCCCACCTTTTGTGCTTTTTTCCCTGGGGCAGTACCAGGGCCATCTGATCAAATGTCAAAAGGCAGACAGGAGGTCAGTGCATGCTCACCACGCTCACTAGCTGCGTCACTGAATTAGCTTGCCAGAACCCTGTTTCCTCCTCTGTACTTGGGCCACTGGGTTTTTGCAAGCAGTGACAGCAGCAAGGGTCCAAAACAGGACCTGGTCCATAGCTTAACAAATGTGGTGGGTGGTGGCATTGAAGGTGGGGGCGGAGTGGTTATTCGGCATCATTTAGACAGACAGGAATTTCAAGAATGTTCCAGCAGCATCAGTGTGCACTCATGGTGGTTTTAAATGCAGACAGGTTGATTTAGAAATAACCTTGATGGTGCACGTATGTATAATGTGGATGGATACCTGGATGTGCACACACGTGTCTATAAATATCCATACACACCCCACCCCACACACACGCACGCACACCCCTCTCACATTTCTCAGCTGTCTGCTCAGAGGGCCTAGAAGCAAGGCTACCCCAGCAGTAACAGTTGCTAAGACTAGGGGGTGATGCATTAAGGGCTGATAAGTCCCACAGCATCTCCCCACAAGATACCTAGAAATTACAGAGGTGAAACAGTGACTTCCCATGGAGACACCCAGCAGATGCCGCCTTAACCAAGGGACAAAGGAGCATCACCAGTCTCAGGACAGACCAGCATCACCTCCCAACACAAGGCACCAAGGATGCAGCATCAGTTCTGTGGGATTCCGGGCAAAAGCATGCAGTCTAAATCTAACCGGGAGGAAGGATCTGACAAACACAAACTGAGGGACCTTCTGGAAAATAACTGGCTTCAGTGTATCCAAAAGGTTAATGTCAGGAGATGCAAACCAATGTTTGCAGCAAATCAGTCTTAAGTTTCTGACTTAGCAGTATTGTGGTTATAAGAATTCTGTGATTTCAGGAGTAGAGTATAAAATACGAACACTTGAGAAACCTGGGTAAAGTGTAGCCCTGGTTCTTTGGCTATTCTTGCAGGTTATCTATAAATTTGCAATTATATAAAAATAAAATAATTGGGAAAACAATTTTTAATTGAAAAGAATGCTCTGGGTTCAGATGACAGAAAAAGTGAATATAAAATTTAGCACGATGATTGGCACATTATGCATATGTGCCCAATGATTTAAAGCAATCATAATAATAGTAATTATTATTATTTGCAAAACAGCACACCCGGCATGTTGTAAGCAGGAAGTGGATAATATCATCGCTGTCACTCATCACCATCGCCACTTTCATCAGTCTTGATGTGCTTGGAATTAAGAACCAAAAAATTAGTATCTTTATTACTGTTACCTCTAATAACTTAACGTCTGCATTAAACTGCATTATTTGAGGGTTTGTTACCAAAACACTTGCCACCTGTTCAAATGCATGCAACACGCACCTACAACAGTGAGGAGGCTGAGGGCCAACCACGAGAAGAGAGGCGGAAGGCATTCGCAGACCGGGATGCACGCTATGCACGTGCATTGGGTCTTTTGTCATCCTCTGAACCTCTGCTTTGTTCTTGCAAGTTCCTGGCAACTCCAGGTTGAAAAAGCACAGCTCCTAAACACACAGCCTGGGCTTTGCCCAGGCCTCTTGGCCACCTAGAACTTTTTCTCTGTTCCTTCTCGAAACCCATCCATAATCAGTGGGCATCTCGGTGTCTGGCCCTTGTTACTCCCCACTGCACACTGGCTTAAACAACAAGTGGAGGCTCTTATTTGCTCCCAAATCCTGACCCATCCAAGATGGCGGGACTGCTGCCAAGTCCAAGGCGCTCCCCAAAGGTCTGTTGTATAGAACTGGCTGTGCTCAGCCCAGCTCTGAGGTGTGACAAGGTCCCAACCCCACTGCTTCATTCAATGTGTTTCTTGAACATAAACCTGAGATCCCTTCTTATCATTTTCTGTCTCCACCCTTCCTCGTTCTTTCAGATATCTTATCTGGAGATATGTATATGTATATATATATATATATATATGATATCTTCACCACTATCTTCAGCTCATTTTTCTTGCTCTGTTTCTTATCTCCCTTGTCCTTATCTTCAGACCAAGGCATGCCGTGGCCATTGCTTCTTCCCCTTTGCAGGAGGCCCATACTGTGTCCACCTACCTGTGACCATAGCGAGGACAAAGCTCCCAGCGGTATCTCTCTATCTGCACCTAAAACTAACAGACCCCAAGGCCCAAGCGCCTTAGTTTCTACATAGGCTGGCATACAGATGCCATAGGTCAGCTGCCCAAAGAAACTTTAAAAGCAAATCTATTATTTATAGACGAGGAGGTAGACAGGTAGATACACAGATGTCCTGCCAACGATACAGAACAGCTACACACACATCCACACACACTCACACACACTCAAAAGAACCTTCCTTCTTTCACGACGGTTCCAATCACGCCCACGCTGAGTTGGAGGCGGACAGAGCGAGGAGAGACATCCCGGGGTGACAACCGCTTTCCCAAGCCGAGATGGAGATGTCCTCAGTCTGCTCGCTCCAAAATGGCAGCCATGAGCCACATGTGGTTATTTGCACTTGAAAAGTAGTGAGTGTGACCGAGGACTAAATGTTTACTTTTATTTAATTTTCATTAATGAAAATTTAAACAGCCGTATACAGAGTGGATACATGTGGACAGCTCAGCTCCAGACCAGGGACTGGCATGCTTTTTCTGTGAAAGACCAGACGGTCATCACTTCCAGCTTTAGGCCGCACCGTCTGTCCCAACTGCTGTCACGGTGTCACAGCACCACAGATACACTGAACGGATGAGCGTGGCTCGGTGCCAATAAAACTTTCTTTGTCAAACACGACCAGGCCGGATCTGTCGTGTGGGTCAGTGTTTGGTAACTGAGTGCTCACTCCGGGACACACCAGAGTGTCACTGCAGGCCTTCTGTGGGATGGCAGGCCCTTGTCATGGAAGGGTTTACCAGTTTTCATGAAAGCGCAGAAGACTTTTAAGAAAAAGAGAGGTTGCCTGATACTCTAAGAGGTCTGCATTTTTCCCAGAGGGAGAAAGCATTTCGTCTTTATAGGATATATCCCAGGACAGCAGGCCAAGTACAAAGAGACCGAGATACAGGGGACATCTCCCCACCCACACCCAACAGAATCCAAGGAAGAGACCAGAAAGGCAGCACCTCTCTCCGGGGCAGCGCGAGGTTAGTTGGTCATTACCTCAGTGGGGTGAGGGAGTGTCCATCTCCGGTCCCCAGATGTCTGTCCCGGCCGCAGACCTCAAGCCGTCTCCTCACCACAGCTCCTGGAGATGCTAATTACTTCCGCGGGCATTTCCACGTCAGAAAGATTGAGTCTGAAAATGGTACCAGCTGGAAGGGAAGAGGAGAAGAATCTGTCAGCTTTGACATTTAGATCACTTGCTGCCTTTTGAAGATGACTCAATTGAATAAAAGACGTTCACCCACTTCCCCACTCACTCACCCAGTGACTGATACATCAAATACGTTGTCAATAAACCCCTATTCTGTTTCACACACAGAGCCAAGTGCCAGAGACAGAGGTAAGCGACAGAGTCGTTCACACCCTCGAGGAGCTCGGCCTGGTGGAGAAAACAAGTAAAGAACCCAGAGCAATACGATTGTGGATGTGGATAAGCTTTGGGAGAGTCGGGGAAAAAACAGCCAACTCAGTCACAAAGATGAATTGGAAGTGGAGACATTTTTAGCAGCCCCTTGATCAAAGTACAAGTGAGATGCTATTGGGCGAAAGAAAAAGCCTTGGGTAAAGTATTGCTAAGGATAAAGATACAGAAATATGCGGGTCTTGAAAGTGAAAATTATGAGATCAAAGTTAGGACAAACCAGGCAGGGGCCGGACAGGAGAGGACTTTTGAAGACTTCATCTGAGAAGTTACGGAGACCCTCAGTGGAGCTCTGAGTCCCAAGAACTGCGATGTGCAGACCATGTGTTTTCTCAGCGGATCTGCTCATGAAATGACCCAGATGACCACACTGATTATTCCCATTTCGTGGATGGGCAGCTGAGGCTTGCAGAGCTGACGTGAACAAACTTGCCCAGCGTGACAGAGGCCATAAGGGGAGAGAAGAGACCATGGCAGGAACCCCCACCTCTGTCTGGTTCCAAAGTCTTCATCTTAGCTACTGGGAGAGACGACGGTGGTAACAGCCCCGAATTTGCTCCTGTCACCTTGTAGCACACCCCTCTGTGGTGTGGCTTTGCTTTCCCTCCCATGATGAAGTGCAGTCCATTTTTCCACCCTTTGAGCCTGAACTTGGCCCTTCTGAACAATAAGCTGATAACAAGTGTAACACAAAGAAAGGCTTAAGAGTGCTTATATGCAGAATTTTCTCTCTCTTGCAGCTAGGAATCATTCTGCTGCACACTAACATGCCTGAGCTAGCCCCCTGATGAGAAACAACATGGAGAGAGGCAAAAGGCATCCCAGTCTTCCCAGCTGAGCCCCCAGGCTCGTGGGTGAGACCATCAGAGTCAGCTGAGCCCCAGACAAGCTGCCCAGTAAACCCACAGAATTAGGGGAAATAAAAAATGTTTGTTGTTGGAAGCACTAAGGTTTGGTGCTGTTTGTTATGCAGAGAAGCTAGCTGATACAACCATCAAGTTATCTTTACACTGCTGGCAGTGATACAACATGGTTAAAATTCTTGTTAGAAAGAAAGGTCAAGAGATGATGAGGGCCAGGGCTGAGGCTGGGCTGTGGGCGAGAGGAAGAGTGGAAGATGCAGGAGTTATTTTAAGGATTTCATGACCAACTGACCCCAGATTTCTCTGAAGGTGTCTGGTGTTGACTATAAACAGATTCTATTTGGAGCTCCTGATGGGGGTGGGATGTTTACACAGAAGAAACACAAAGGAGCCAGAGCCAGAGCAGTCAAGGGAAGCTACTGAAATGAAACTTCCTTTTCAGCCTCAGATGCCTGAAAGAATCAAGGCCGGGGCTCACTGCCACAGCCTCCTAACCAGGTTGCTGTTGCCACGTCCTCCAATGCCAGCCCCAATCTCAGCAGCAGCCAGAGGGGTCCTTGTACCTTGCACCCCACACCTTCCTCCCTCCCACCACTGGCTCACACCATCCTCTTTCCCGCTGTACTGTCTACTCACCCTTCAGATCTCAGTGTCAACGAGCTTCCCAGGGACATCTTTGCTGACTGGCCAAACAGGGCCAGGCACAGCCACCACACACTCCCACAATCCCCTGCGCTCCTATTGTCACAGCCCAATAATGCCATGAGGCATGAGTGTGTCTGTCCTACACACCACTCGGCCCTCACCACCCAGCACACTGCTTCCCCGTGGGAGAAAGTCAAGTACTATCTCCTGAATGAGAGAACGAACAAAGCAATTCATGGACCACACTTTCAGGATGTTTGCTTTGACATGCTGCCTTCTCTGCCCTCCAAATGGGTTAGGGTCCTTACTTTGGGGTACCCATGGCTTCCTGTGCTTCTCTTCATTCATTTGGGGTTATTTATTATTCTTTCATTTAGCAAGAATTTACTAAGCACCAGGCATCTCCTAGGTTTCCCCACTGTCCCACATGGGACAGTGTATGGGTATAGGAGGCACTCAGTAATGACTGCTGAATAAATGAACAATTGAGTGAATGAGTGAATGAATGAATGAGTGAAGAAGCAGATAAATCCCTAAGCATCAGTTGAGATGCGGCTGACTTACAACATAGCAGGAGCCTGTATCTGAGTGTTATGTATGTTACATCTTATTAAAGACTTGATAATCACCGTAATGCCAACCTACACGTACACATGCACCAGCAGGGACTTAGAGTGTCCTTGTGCTCTACCGAAAGACATAGGAGGGAAATCTGTGAGTTACATTAAACGTGGAGCCTTGCTCCCAGTTCAGCCCCGGGTCTCTGATGCCACAGCTTGGCACTTGTGGCTGCCTGTGAAGTCTGGTTAAAGCCTAAGACTTGCCTTGGAGCAAAGCATAATCCTGAACCAGTTTTTGCATTCATCTGCAGTTGGTTTATTTATATATATATTTGACCATTGCATGGGATTCCCAACCCCAAGGAGGAAGCTTGCAAGCGCGGGCCAGCCTCAGTAGTTACTTTGACTCTCCTGTCTTTTGCTTTTCACGTGGGTCCTAAAATCCTTTTCTGAAACTCCACATCACAGCTTCCCTCCCAATGGCCTGCTGTCTTGCATCTTCCTGTGTCTCTCCCTATTCCCCAGCCCTCCTGCAACTGCATCTCGTTCAGAACAAAAACTAAACTGTCAAAAATGAGTGAAGTGCTATACATGGGAGAACAATCAGATATAATCCCCATTTTCAGGGGAGGCCCAGACAAGCCCCTATGCCTCTCTAAGATCACAAATGAGGAAACTGAGGCCCAGAGAGGTGGGCCCAGGGGTCACAAGGCTGGAGATCAGGGCTGTGGGAACGTGAGCTGAGTGCATCCAACTCCAGGCTCAGTGCTCTTCCTGCGACCAGGCTGACTCGCTCTCATTCCCATCCCAGCCCATTTCTCCCCCTTATTTCTCCCCATCCAACTGGCAGCCACCAGGTACCAACCAGGCCGTTAGCAGCAAACTGCTGGGCTTAAACCAGGAGACCTGGAGGCAAGAAAAATGTCCACTAATTCCAACCAGTGCACAGAAGACTAGGACAAATTCCAGTCAAATCAATCACAGTTAGTTTTCACTTCTGTTTTGGAGCCAGAAATCATTCCTTCTTTGCCCCTGTTAGCGCATCCGCCATCTGAAGTGCTTTTCTCCTGTGCAGTAACGTGCAATAAATCTTATAAGAGATTTTGTTCTCCAGTTTTCTTTCCTCTTGTGGTAGAACAGGGGACTGAAAGTGAAACTCGACATCGCACTTGGAGGAGCACAGCCTGTCTGCTTAATAAATCATAACTTTTCTCCTCTAAGCAAAAAAATGTTTAGCTGGATAATCATTAACACTGGGCCTGGATGAAAAATATGGCTGCACTTTCAAATTACAGGAATCTTTTCTCAGAGGCCTGTGGTCATGTCTTGTTCCAAACCAGGGTGGCTGGCTGCTAAGTGTGCCAAGCAAGGGGAGGCCGGTTGAGTCCAGCTGCGTGAGTTTAGGAAAACAGCCTTCCTCTGAGTCTTAGCTACTCACTGGTAAAATAGAACTTACACCTCTTCCAATGCTTTATGGGGTTGGACTGCAAAGCAAGAGAATAAGAAACGTGAAATTGCTAAAATAATAATTATAAGGTAAGGCCAGCAGTAAGTATAGTGGAAGATACCATTTGGGGGGGTAGGTTTATTTTTTTTTAATGGAGGTACTGGGGATTGAACCCAGGACCTTGTGCATGCTAAGCATGTGCTCTACCACTGAGCTATATTCTCCTCTCTTGGATGATACCATTTTTAAGTGCTTACTAACACTTTTTCAAATTAAGCTCTTTGTACCAAAAAGCTCAGTTAATCCTCACAACGGTCGTGAGATATGTGCACTATTATTTGCATCACTTGCGGATGAGTAAGTGGAGGGTTGCAGAGATTAAATGATCATAGTAAAGAGTGCAGCCTGAGTGAGAAACAAAATTCCTAAGTGGGCTCTTTTGAAGCCCAGGGCTAACACAGTTCACTTCAACAGCATTTACAGAGCCTCTTCTGTGCTGTGCGAGCATGTCTTCTGCCCTGGCGGGGACAGCAGTACACTCTTGGGCTCTATTCGTAAGAAGCCCCTGTGTGAGGAAGGGGACGCAGGCATACCAGTAAGAACCACGCCACTCTGTACCCAGTGGGAGATGGCACATATCCACGTGGGTGGTTTCTCAATCCAAACTCCTAACCAGCACAAGACGATCATGGAGAGTGAGGTCTAGAACTGAGGCTGTCAGGAGAGATCAGTTTGCAGAGGGGACGGGTGACCCAGAAGCAGGAAGGTGCAGGGGCAGAATCAGAAGATGATGGTGAGATGCCCTAGAAAAGCCTGGTGTCAGTGTTAGGACGTCCAGAGCAGGGCTGCTGGCCAGGCTGTGGGATGACAGTGGGGTAGGGGGCAGGAATTCTGGGTGTGGGAACCAGGGATGACAGGGCTGATGCCGAGAACAGAGGAAGCTGAGGGGGCAGCCCCGACAGCCCCTTTGGGGTGCTGCTGTACCCCCACCCCACCCCTCACGGCCCAGGGACTGAGGAAGCCAGCCCTGCGGGTCTGAAGAAGAAACCCGGACAGCAAGCAGGTGTCCTCAACAGGCTGGGAAAGCTGTTCTTGAATGGGCACCCTCCCTCTCTGAAAGGGGTCCTGAGAATGAGTGGATTTCTGAATTTGGAGCCCAAATGCTGAGTTCTAGCTGCTCTGCCGGGGACATGTTAT